TTTTCCGTCTAATCTACTTTTGTCGTAAGAAAATGCCAAAATCAAATATGTGAAACAGTACGAAAAGTAGAAAAATATTAAAAGCACAAAGCATCTGTTATATCGTTTTTTCAGAGTATTGCATGTTGTGCACCATTTCATAGATATAACACACACACACACATATACACAACGAACGATTTCTGATAAATTATTAATTGGTCTGATATTAAAAATGATGAGGATCATTGAGAAGAACTTTGTTGTAAACACTGAATACTCCTAGTACTTTTTGTTTTGAAGTCAAGCTTCGTTTCTCATAATACTTGCACTTTGAATGAGTATTCGAAGTGAACAGCTGTTCGATAGAGATGCAATTGACATTGCTTACAGAGTTTAAATCTTTGTTTTTCTTTAACTTGATCTCGAGAAATATGACGAACAAATGATGATCAATACAATCTTAATTAATACGTACATTTTCATATGCCTCTGATCCGATGCTAAAAATGGCTACTGTCCTCTCACTACTCTCTCATTCCAATACATTTAAATATCAATCATATAATAAAATAAAACCGGATAGTTATACGACGTTGTTTTCTTGTTAAGAACAATCGTTAAGACTGAATTCAAACACAAGGTCCTGCCACAATTTTTCTCAGATAGTTTTGATGTTGGTTTAACTGCGAACGATCTATTCAACTAGATTGAGAAAGCGAAAGGCTAAGGATGGTCTAAACCTGATTGTTGTTGATAATGATTATCATCATTACAACCAAAATAACATGTATCACGTTTCTGTTCATGTAAATAATGTTAACGTTATTGTACGATTGATACCGTAAATGATGAGAAAATCCTTTAGAGATGCATTCTAGTTTTGTAATTGGAGAGTGGAAGTTCTAACAACATCAATTAACAGCACCATAAATTAATGACACACCAATAAAGATTAGATAAGTTAATAATAAATATAAAAGACAATATAATGAAATTTATGTTCACTTTGCGGTTGATAAAATTTAATTAAACATATGTTTCAAATTAAATATCTTCTATGCTAATATGCAAACAAATATATAAGCGATATTGTTAACCACTATCACGGTGACGTTTACAAAAGTAATGATCTTTTTTATAGAATAATAATTTGTGTGCTTGTAATTCAATTACATTATTTTTAATTTGATTATCATCAAAATCTAACTTCATATCAATTTATGACTTTAACTATTGATTTTGTCCATTCAAACATAATTAATCTGAATGATGACGGAGATAATTGCCGGCCATGACTAATCTCAAACGCAAACAACATGCTTCAATGTCTATAAAAATAGAAAATATCTACGATTGTTTCTTTTTTTCTGCCAAATGACATTAGTGAACATTTTTTAATAATTAATACCGCTTATACTGATTATAATAATGGCATGGGAAATATTTCATCCATATCATTAATCTACACCCAGCAAACACACAATATTTCGTCGGTTATCATCATAATAATTGTTTGCTCTTTCAACTGTTTCAAGTATTAATCGTAGCGTCTTTTAAACTTTTCCTGTACTTTATTTATTGTTTTTGAATCACTTTTGTGATTCTAACTTGTATCTACTATTGAAAAATGATCTACCAAAAAATAACAAAAAGAAAAGAAAAATTTAAAATATCTCAAAAATTACTCATACATTTTGCAAAGAGTATTGAATATATATCTTCGTACAGTTTGCTTTATGGAAAATCTCATTATAGTTTATCTGTTGATGTCAAGCACACATTGATTCTCTCATTTTTGAGCTTTTCAACAAATAATCAATTCTCATATTTACAGTCATTACATCTGATAGCCTTGACCTTGACATCTTCAACTACATCATACATGGTCGGAAAAGTATACGAATCGCTTTATTTTTATTCGACAATAACTACCAAAAAAAAGAAAAATATCTAACAACTACAACGAAAAACAAAAATGAGGACATTTTTTTATATATGAATGGAACATAATAATAACAAAAATAAAATAAAAATCACAGCTGTATGAGCAGGGCCATAAAATCACCCAGATGTAATAATCGAACACAGTATCTTTGTTGAGTATACATAAATATCTGATTTTGCATAGAAAAAAACAAAAAAACTAGATGCCTCAAAAGTTTGAGCACAGATGAACATTTATCAAGGCACTTATCATTTGTATATAACACTTTTTTTATACTGAGAAGGAAACTGCTACTTAAAAATATTCTTAGTCAAAAAAATTAGACCATCCACGTGCCCTCGAACCAAATTACTATTTGACAATGAAAATCATCGTAGATTAAATATTTAAAACTGTCTATCATAAAATTTTCGCTTATTCTTATTTTGATGATGATAAGGAAATAACTGCTGTTTTTCGACTGCTAGTGTAGGCAATAACGATCTTGGATGACTATTTTCATTTTGAAATGGGGATAATGATTGAAAATATCGAGATGATGATCGTGAATGGTTATAACCTGATTGTTGTTGATAATGATTATCATCATTACAACCAAAATAACATGTATTACGTTTCTGTTCATGTAAATAATTTTTTTTATTATCCGCATAAAAAAGTGATGGAATACTATTACTATTACTACTGGTATTGGTATTTTCAAACGAATAATTTTGAGATTGTTGATGTTGTGACTGAGAAATATTGTTTGCTAAATCACAGTCACAAGAGCCAATTTGAGGCTGAAAAGAAAATTTAATCATATATTGTATTTATACGATGAGACACAATTTACCAAATCGAATAATGATGGTAGTTTAGATTTGTTGATTGATTGAAAGAATGGGGATAGTGACCAGTTTTCTTGTGACTGCTGTGTTGATTTTGATGGCAGAAGATGGAGTTGTGGCCGCTGTTGTGAAAAAGATTGTAGTTTTAACAATAGTTGCTGTTCCTGTTCATATTCACTGGTATGATTGTTAATGTTTTGTATTTTTGACTATAACGAGAAAAAAAAACTTGAAAATTGAACACAATGTGCATAGCACATCAATACGATTAAACAAATGGTATTTCATTTGTTTTCTGTTATCCCAAATGTATGAGAGATAGGTAAGAAAGGTATAAAAATAGCAGCGCTATGTGAGCAATTAGAATAGTCGAATTTATTTTAGTAATTCGAAGAGGCAGTAATTTATATTTACAAAACTTTTCCACTAGGTAAACCGATTTTAGATTTTCGCTGTACACTTGCCTCTATTGGAATTAAATCCAAGAGCGATGGAGGCGCTTGTTGTCGAATTTGTTGTAATTGATTTCCTGTAGTGTATACGGTTTCAGCAATCACATTTAAGAAAGACTGTGGTGATTGTCGAGTTTGATGTATTTGATGAAATTCGAAGAATCCATTCATTGCTGTTCCATTTGTATTCTGAAAAAAGTCGTCAAATAAAATGATAATAAATTTAAAAGTAAATTTATTTTAACTTGCATGAAATAAATTATTGTTAAGTTGAGCATTATTTTTCATTGATGAAATCTTATTGCTGACAGTATTTTTACGACGTTTATGTCGTTTGTTCTGACGATTTTCAATTGACATTTTTTGGATAATACTTGTTGAATTTTGCTGATGATTATTACTTTGAACATTTGGATTTGGATTTAAAACTGTAAATGGTGTGGATAATGATGTCGTTGTTTGATTTATTGTCACTAAATATGGAGATGGTACAGGCTTCAATATTTCTGATTTACCATTTTTTCTTATAATTAATTGATGATTAGCAAAACGACTTGTTAACGTTGATGAAAATTCATTTTTATTCAATTTTTCATTCAATAATCGAATTGAACTATGTAAGGGATTTGTTGAATGATTCGAAAATAATGCTTCTAGAGGATAATCAAACACTTTATTATATTTAGGTGCTGAAGCAAATTCAATATCCATCAATTTTGACGGCAACACGAGCTACAACGAAAATAAAAACATATTAAGATTATTTTAACTAGTATAGTGTATTACTGCAACTATACCGGTCTTTCCCAAGTTTTTTTTGATGGACTCAATCTTTTCAATGCATGTGGGTAACGACGTATATACGATGACATTTTTTATTCTTTTTGTTTTGTGCAAGGAAAAACTAATTACAAAAAATCAAAGAAACATGATAATCTGCTTATAAAGAAATATGTCAGAAGGTGAAAGAAACACCTTAATTCTATTTAGTTTCTCCTTACAACAAGCTTATTTTTTAAGTAAACCTTCATTTACCAACACACATTTGTAACAAAACGAATAAGAGCTTTTATGCATGGGTTTTTCTTGACCTGCAATAACTACCTTTATTTTTGTAGAAGTAAATAACGTGTTTGTTCTCTCACAGACTAGACCTTAGACTATGCGATATGAAATAGTAATCGAAAATATGCATTCACTCTACGTTCAACTTAATATTTATTTTTTATCTAGCTCATTTGACGACTTGTTCATTTTAGACTAGGTTTCCACCAAAATGTAGCCAAACATCTTCAACATGTCTATTGAAAATTCGGTCTGAAACGGACAAGTCGTCAAATCAGCTAGATAAAAAATAAATATTAAGTTACACGAAGAGAGAATGCATAAATTTTGATCATGACCAACGAGATAGAGAGAGCTGAAAATGGAATACGAAGTTCATAAACATTTTCATAAGATCAAATCTAGTATTTCAGTGGAAGAACACCATTGTTGCAATAAAAAAATCATTATCTGATTTCAATCGATGATACAGAACTGTTAGTCAGCAAAGTAAAACATGAACGCGACACGATCAGACGATACTACGTTAAATTGTATGGTCAGTTTCTATCAGAGAATAGACAAGACAAGGGAAACGTTCAGATTTCAAAATACGAAATAATCTTCATGATTAATTACTCTTTCCCTTAAATTTTTTTGATTTGATCACAAAACTTATGCTGCTCGATTCTTTATAATCATGTACAGTTTTCGATCAAATATTTCTATTCTCTATCCTAATGGTCTGTTCCCCAGGATAACAAAACAAAAGACGAATAGTTTTTTCGATGCTTACGCTTTTATTTGTCAACACTGGAAATCACAAAAAATACAAAAAAATATTATTATCGCAAAACAACAGCACAAAAATATGCCGTTTTATTTCAAAATCAAATGGGTACTGATAATTTCACTATTAATACGGGACATTTTCTTCAACTGATTCAATTTTAATACTACTAACAGAACACTAGAAAATAAAACAAGATACTTACTACGTATGTTTACCTTTTTCTACACCTTTTACGTACTGTGCGTGCCAATTGTCTACTTACAGAATGACATTTTTGCATATTATTCAAAATAAATTTATTGTTTTTTTCTAAACAAAAACGAAAAATGCAGACTTTAGTTCTTCTACACATTTACGCACCTAATACTGATTCAAGACTCATATAGCAATCCAAAATGACCTTGTAAAAAAAAGAGAAAAAAATTATCACGCTGATCTAACCTCTCATATCTCACCTCGTTCGGTTCATATTTCTCCATTTTAACATCGTCGTTTTTCTGAACAGCATCTTTTTTCTAGAAAAAAAACCTAAATAGGCAACTTGCAACACTTTACACATAGCACCAAGAGATGTAAGAGAAAACTTTCTGGTAGTTTTGACCAGTTCAGTGAGTTGTGTCGAATGCCAATGTCTGTTTGACAAAAAAGTTTTCAAATTTTTGAGGTCTACTTGGAGGGGACCTCAAAAAGTTGAAAAAAGTCGAAAAAGTTTTTGTTAAACAGACACCGGCATTCGACGCAACTCATCGAACTAGCCAAAACTACCAGAAAGTTTCTCTTACGTCTCTTGGTGACTGGGCTACAGGTACAAACTTCTTTGTTGCAAGTCGTCTATTGTGTATCAATTTAAAGCAATATAAAAACAAGAGAAAAGGAATATTTACCCCATCATCGATCATTATTCTAACAATTTTTTCATTCGATGATAATGGATGAAAGTATTGGAGGTGATTTTGTTCAACTTTACTGTTCAAGCAATCACTAATATGTTTAACATTAGAACATGTTTTTTGAATATTTTCTATTTGTATCCTCATAGAAGAATAGGGATAATACCACGTATATTCATTCAAACACCGTTTTTCTCGTTTGGATATTGCTTCATTTAACGAAAATATTTTCTTTACTTGTTCACTCTTTATGTAACGCACGATTTTTGCAGCAATTTCATAAGAAAAGCGGTGATAATAATTCAAATGTGAATATAGTAGACATGGTTTTAACTTTGTACACGGAATATTTTTCAATATTTTCTGCTGTTGTCGTGTAATATCATATTTTATTATACTGTTCTTTATTATAAACGGACAGACGGTTTTAAAATGACGATAACCTCCATACAGATGACTGTATAAACTATTACCGATCATTTCATTCTCAGTAAAATGTAAATCATTTGTTCTATTCAACATCATTGCACCGGTTATTTTTAATGCTGTTTGCTTATTTAAATGATGATAAATTTTTAAATGTGAATACAAAACAAATTTGTGAGTGGATTTTCTTGCACAATGAAAATGTCGTATACGTTCATCATTTTCGGTAATACCAAACACTTTTCTTGTATTTTGACTAAATGGGCACCTTTCTTTATACCATGATATTGAATTATGAAACAGATATTCCTTCTTTTTAAATAATTGTTTTGTTTTTTCAACATTTGATTGTACATATTGAACTAGACGTTGAGCAATAGAATCTGATAAATTGTGAGCGTAAATTAGATGATGGAGTAACGACGAAGAAGAATGATCGAATGCTTGACACGGTGTATTTGGAATATTTCTCGATTTTTCCAAACCATATGCACCCAAAGTTTCTAATGGACACGACGACATCACAAGGAATCAAATTTGGCTAGAAGGCAACAAAACGCACTTATCCAAAAACGTTCAGTGAATTTATCTCATCAAAACACACATCTTCCTACATAACTGTTACTTTTGTACAATAGCTTGATTGTTGTGCTTCCATCGACAGCCCCATTCTTTCATTATTCACTCAACAAAATGCTTCGCACCATTAACTTACTCACTTTTTTAATAATTTATCTATCTATTTTTCTACTTGATATAGTCTTTACTCTATTTCACACATACTTTTTGGAACAACGAGAGAGAAAGAGAAATGTTGAGTAGAACGGACACGCGGGAAAAGTTCTCCATGTTAACTGTACATGTATGTATGTCTTTTGTTGAAAAGACTTGTCACATTCTAAATAACTTATACAAATATCTAGTACTTAAAACATACCAAAAGTTTCCACATTTTCAGATGGATCGAAAAGAGTTAATCAAGTTTTTATTTCAGCAAATATTCGAACTAATAGCCATGATACCCGCACACAGTTACATTCGATCAAGCCATTTATCAAAAGCTTTTTTGAAATCATCGTTAGGTCATAAATTCATACTCTTGATCATGTAATGCACCCAATGTAATGCTTCGGAGATGATTTGATTGATTAAATTTTTTTGATAAGATAGAGCGCGTACTAAAAACCGCATGTACTACGTCCATAGAATAAGATGTGATACTAAGATGTATCATAATTATGGGACGTTCTGATTCAAAACAGCTGGAAATATCTTTATGAGTATGTGCTCGGATGTTGCCATGGTGAAGTTTGATACTCTGACTATTAGGCGATGATCTTGCTTTCTCATTTCGTTGATAAGTAGCTGTAAGCAATTATCGATATCGGTATCATAGCTACTAACGGGTGTGGCAGAGAAAATGAGATCTTTTTGTTCTTGCTATAACTCGGTCAGTTTTGATCCGATCGGTCCAAACTTTTTTTTAAAAGATGCGCTGCGAAATACTCTACAAAATCATACCTAAACTGTAATTTCAGAACTTCAATCAAGAAAACTACGCCAATTAGATGAAAGTCGAAAAAAATGTAAACTTGCTAAACTCAAAATTTTTTTCGACTTGAACGTTTTCTTCTGCTACTATTTTCACTAGAAAGTGTAGCAAAAGGAAGAACTCTGTTTATGTTTGGTACTTTCAAATGTGCTGTTTCTCATGGTCTATAAAAAAGCTTTTTTAGAACAGATGGTGTGCTCGAGTACAAAGTTACAAAAATACATCAAAAGTTGATAACGTTTCCGCTTCCAACAATGTGCTCAATCAAGAAACGGAAAGGACGATTGAAGTTTGATTTTGTAGTTAGATAGAGAAGAGCAATCATTTCTGATCAAAACGAAGCAAACCCGATCGAAAAAGCTTTTATTTTGATGGAGTTATGGCTTTTACTGAAAGCATTACTATACCCAAAATTTAAAAAACTAACGAAAAAATGCATGACAACCGATAGAAAAACTATTATTTCGCTGTGGCTTTTGATGTGAAAAAACCTGAAGCGTAGTTAAAAGATAGAGCGAAGTCAGGGCTACAAAATGGCTAATTCAGTTTTTCTTACTTTCAAAACGTTAACACAACAAATAATTTTTGAGTTTAGAAAGTTTACATTTTTTTCGACTTTCATCTAATTGGCGTAGTTTTCTTGATTGAAGTTCTGAAATTACAGTTTAGGTATGATTTTGTAGAGTATTTCGCAGTGCATCTTATAAAAAAACGTTTGGACCGATCGGATCAAAACTGGCCGATTTGTAGCAAAAATAAAAAAGTCTTATTTTCTCTGCCACGCCCGTTAGTTCCAATATTTGCTGAAGTAAAAATAAAAAGTTCATTGACTCTTTCCGATGAACTATTATCTGAAAATCTCGGAACTTCCGGTATGCTCTAAGTAATACGTTTATTTCCTTACTCGAGTCCAAAACCTATAATATTCCGAATGACAAGTATGAGATCTTAAAAAATTTTTTGGCTGCTAGGAGATTCAGGAATGGTGGAGAAACCCAATTCACAACGGTTCGGTTCAATAATTTTTTTTCTGTTTAACTGAACCATTTACGTTCGTTTTGAAAAATTTCCTCTACGAGATAGTACGAAAAATGGTTTCCTCATTTCTCTCTTAAAAATATATCTCTATATGAAAAGCCGATGTTGGATCAGGAACTAGTATCGATAAATGTATAGTCAAAGTACGTGGATGATATGCAGTTGTGTTTTCTGTTCTGCCACGTGTATGCCTAACTTAACTGATAAATTGCAGAATATGCTCATTCTATCATCGCCGCTGGCGAGAAATAAATTATACAAGTAACAAGTGATCTTCGTTACAGAAAGAACATAAAAGAAAATCAACATCATTGAGCGAACTACTCGAGAAAATACTGAAGATTAAAAAACGTCGTTTAAATGAAAATAATTCTGAATCATTTAAGAAACAAAGTAACAAGCATTAATGGTAACAGATTACGCCTAATACTTTTTGAAAATCAGGAAATTTGCTCAAAAGTTAGGAGTTTTGTAGAAATTTTAGAAACAATAAGAAAAATTGATCGAAGAACGTCACTCCTAGAATTCATGACGATTGCAAAGCATTAAGTAACATAAGTATTGTAAATTTCAAACTCTCTGTACTCACTTCTTTTATTATAAAATTTTTTCTATGTCGAACGTTCTTCACATCTTATTTCAAGGCAGTGTATGTACGTACTCTCGATCAGAACGCATTTTTTTATCATATCACATGTTTTTTCTTGCTGATAACAATCTTGGACGGATGCAAAAAATAGAATGTCAGATGAATTAGTGGATGCAGAATTGAAAATTAGAGTGAATACAAATTTAGTGTGCAATAGTTTGTATTCAATGAGTAAAAAACTACGTTTGAATTGTTCATTTTTTTCTTCTAGGAATATTCAACGAAAAAACTCTGTTCTTTTACTTGGTATCTCTAAATGCACAGTACATCCCTATGGAAAAAAAATTGGCTTTATACTTTCTTCTGGTTTTTGGCTGTTCTTTACCTAGGAACAGGAAAAACCTATATTTTACGGTAATAGAGTTATCCTCAGTCAACTATCGAAAAGATTAGTTTGCTGTTATACTAACGAATAAGTATTAGACGCTTTCTGGATACGAAATTTTCCCATAACTTCTTAAACTTGTTCGAAAAATGTCGGTTCACAGGTCAATGAATCCGATGTATATATAGGGATTTTCTCCAAAAATGAGCGTTACCCAATTTCTTTCACATCGAATTGGAATCGTTAGATCAAAAAACTTTTATGCTGTACATGACTAGTCAACCGGTGGCAAAAACTGCACATGTAACAACAAGGACTACGTCCACACAACAAGTAATCATGATTATCTAAAGTGCTTTAGATGCTGCGCACTTGATTGTGATCTACTTACACATGTATCTTGCTTTGGATGCTTCATGAAAAGAACAATACTATTTATCTAAAGTAGTACATTGATTATTGTTATTGGGATTTTGTCAGGAATCCTGCCAAAACCAGAGACCCGTATGATCCTATCGGAACTAACAAGAAAGCCTTGTAGGATTTTTGCACAACTCTTTCCAGATTTTCGGCGATAAAGTCGACTGGAGTTCGTATTTTCAAGCCATGCGATGTTGACTGACAGAATAGTCCATTGTACTTCGACAAATGGCTGATTGTTTCATAGTTCCACTACCAGGAAATCATCGGTGTGAAAAACTTTAAAAACCTTGAAAATTTCTGACAAATGGGTGGATTTTTATAAACTATGCCCTCAACAAAACAAAATGGAGAACATTTTTCGTATACGAGATTCCATCGATGATCACGTGGAAGAAATCTTTAGAACCCTGCTGTAGGATGAACTCTTATGCAAACAGGGTTTCCATAGGATCACAGGTCAAGGTTCTCTCAGAAACATCATTTATCAATAATTATGAAACATAACTCTGCTGTTTTCAATAAGAATCAATGAAACGTTGAGAAAACAAATTCAATTTCTGTGCTAATCTTGACGTTTCTCGGAAACAATTGTAGTTCTGGACGTCTGTGAGGGCGATGTTGTACTATAGGACATTTGAATAATTAGAAATACAATCGAAGAACATTTTATTGTTATTTTTCGATCTGATAATCACCATTTTTGCAAAAAATTTCAAAACAGGGGAAAAGTATCAAAGAGTAGAAGAGAAGACTATAGACAATTTAAATTTGCGTTTTTGTTTGTATAGCACTATGACCTTGCGTTAAGACCCAACACTAGTATCTAATGACTTGTCGAATTACTAGTGTTGTGAAACTTCAGTTGATTTGAAATAAAAATAGCTTAAACTAAAACTACTTCGTGTTCGCAAAGTTCTCAGTCAGGATAAGTAGGAAGCAAATATGAAGAGCAAAATACTTTTAAATGACCAAAATTAAAAACTGTGTTGAGTTTTGTTTTACAGTTATCTTGACCGTACGCGTCTTTTAACATCACGGCTTGGGTGAAGTCTCCTACAACTTTTTCTTAGATCATCTTCAAAAACGCATCACTGGACGTAGCTTTTTGAGTTGATCACGAATATCGGCTTTAAAACGAACAAAATTAGATTTTAAATGATAAAAATTAAATTTATGTTTTTTTAATCTGAATCTTCAGACCTATTTACACCACACAACACCAAATCATCAGTTGGAAATTAATCCTTGCAAGCATTAAATCATTATCTATTTTACTTCCAGAGAAAAGTTTTAATTAGTGTGGAAAAAGCATCACTCCGTTGAGCTTGCCAAAGCCGATTAGAGAATAAAAAAAGAATTGGATAACTATAGAAGAAGCACGAAAAGGTTAACTTTTAAGTTGAAATAAATGAAGCAAGGCTGTCGCGACCAGTCAGACTTTGGGAGGGTGCTCCACTGAGACAAGACTTTGTTTTTCGAAGAACGCAAGAAAATTATTTTTTTCTGCTGGGAAAAATCGAGGATTTTCTATTTTTTTGGGGGGGGGGGGTCGCAGCCCGATACAGCCCCCCCCCAGTAACGTCAGCCCTGAAATAGAGGTAAAAAGAGAGGCTAAAACCCGTCCTCTAATTCTCATCATAGTGTGCCTTAAAAAACTGTGTTGCTTACAGGACCTTATTACTAAATTTTGCTCCTGAACTATCTCAAACTGAAAAGGATAAGATGAAGATTTCTTTTATTACATTAAGCAGCGCTAGTGCGTTTTAGTCCAGACTTAAAGAATAGCAATAGGTAATATTGTCGCCCAATAAACAAACAAAGTATAATATAGCGTCAAATTATTTCCAATTCGGAAACGAGCGCGCTTAAGTTGGTATTCAGTAGTGATGGCAAAGCGTAATAAATTGTGATGCGAAGGATGATTTGTGTATTCAAAGTTAGAAAACGATCTGATATTTGAAGATAATAGGTAAGTACATGTAAGAAGTGTCGCAGTACAGAAAAATGTAGCTTTATCTTAAAATTCAGTTATTACTCTCTAATATTTCAATAAAGACTTTTATCGTGTTCTACATGGCAGAACAAGTAGGGTCTATTACATATTTTCAGTAGTACTACATACAATACAATTAGTCAATGTTTTCGGCTTTTTTTCACCTTGTTTAATTGACAGACCTGACAGAAGTAATCCACTCTAACTTTAGATATCATTACTTACGTAATGAATTATCAGTCAACGTTGCGTGTAACATATTTTTGATTTGTTTCGTCGTTTGTATTTGTATGAGCAGCAGAGTTTGTATAATTTAAATTATCTACATGAACAAATGTTTTGTCCACTTTAGCATCTTCAGTTAAAATTTGTACGCTACTATCAGTACCTTTAAGGAAAAAAATATAAATATCTGGACTGACTATATCAAGAGCAATAAACAAACTCACAAACATGAACAGCATCATGGCCTTCTAGTGTGAAATTCAAATGGTGAGATAATGGTAATTTTAATACATTTGGTGCGTTTTTTTCCAAGACCTTGAGCACCGTCTCTACGTCTGTCAGATCATTCAAATCCAATTTCTCACACAATTGTTCACATAGAGGAATTTTATTTGAACGTTGTGTAGATCTTTTTAATTCATCTGTATCCTGTGTTATCATCGATATTGTACGTGAAACATTTGAAGTATCACTAAAATGAAGCGACTAACGCGCGAGTGTTAAGTAGACTAATATAGACACATACGTTTGTATCGATACAGGTGGACTCGCGGAATCTTTATCTTCATTAATCAACGACTATTTATGAATTAAAATAAAACAGAGAGTATACTTATGTCGTTTTTATAGTGATATTGATTAAATACCTTTAATAATTTGCGTTGTGCACCACTAATTGATTCGTCAACGAGTTTTCGAGATTCAATGTACAGTTCTGATTTATTAGATGTTTCCATTTCAAAGTGTTTTAAGTCATCCGTTGATGCCGCTAAGTCAGATATGGAATGTTCACCATGAGAAACTGAAAAGAAAATAGTTTTACTACATGGTAAAAGTATATCATACTTAATATCAGGACATCGGAATTTATATAATAATGATGAAATGTCTGAAATTGTGATATATAGCAAACAGCGATAATCGAAAAAATAAGCGCGAGTAGCGGTATACTTAATTGCTATTTCTGTACAAATTCTGCTTCATAAAACTTGCCTTTAGAATATATAATGAAAGTTTTCTCTGATTGAAATATTCTAATTGTTTTTAATTATTTTTAATGTACTTCATTATTTCGATGATCGAGCACAATCTATAAACTGGCTCCGTTTTTTTCATTTAAATTTGAAACTATTTTGAAACGATTTGTGCATTAGTTGACTAAAAAACGCTCTAATGTAGCTTGCAAAGTCTAAATACTTCACTCGTTTTATGTTGGTCAACATAGGAAAGTCTACTAATAATTTTTTTTTGTTATGTAATACTCTAGTTTTACTTCAGAAAGCTAAGTTTTCAGATGTAAAATGAAGTTCCCTTATTATTTTATTGCAATCAGCATTTCATGTCAAAAACAATTAAATATCATATCTTTTTTACAAGAAAGATTGAATTTTGCACTGTTTAACGTATCCTTCCCTATAAAAAAAAGACTGCCTCCACACAACGGGCATTTTTCTATAGACCAGGCGGACATATGTTTTTTTAATTCAGAAAGAGACTATTTTTGCTCAATACTACTTTATTACGTTTGAAATGTTATTATAAAATAAAAAAATCTGAAGTCGGAAAAAATTGTTTTAGCCGGAAAATCCCTAAGTCACCCTTGCCTTAATTTTGTGCCGAAAAAGTTTTTATTCAGAAAATGAACGGGTTATACGTCATTCAATGCAGTTTTATGCGCTGCTTCCAAATATCACATTATTTTTTTATACAAATGTTCCTGGACTGAGAAACCATTTTACATAAAAAACACTTTTTTTGGAAAACTCGTATCTTAGGAGGATAGTTGCATAAAATTGCATTCAGCATAGCTACAGAACATGTAGAGGAATATTTTAGTGTATTTTAAATACACTCTGGAGTGGGAAAAACCCATTACAGTTAAAAGGTCTTTCAGGAAACAGTATTGGTTTGGGGAAACACTCTGTTTCACTGAACAACTTGCTCTAATAGAAATTATTTTTACAGTTGGATAGCTTAAAGTGTCTAGATTGCGAATATATGCTTTTCGCAGATTTAAATTCGTTTAATTTATTGAAAAAATAATTTTTTCCGAAGGTGTGTGCCATTTAGCACGTTCTTTACTTATGAAGTTTTCGGACAATTCAAAACTTGAAACAAAAATTTTAGTGCCATTAGATAGCCCATATATTAAAGTATATCTTACACTACTTGAATTGAAAAAAATGCACTTTCGATTTTTTGCTAAATGTCCGTCTGGATGTCCACTGTGCGACTGGGCCAGCGAGAGAGCCTAATGTTTAACTCCGGTAGGCAAAATATTACACAAAATTTAATATTTGGAAGAGGACGTTTACTTGACGAAAGAAACATGTGTTTAGAAATATTGCAATTAATGTTTTAAACTATCGGATTCCGCAAAATCTCTTTTTTTTTCTACTAGAAATAGTAATTGCATAACGGGTTGCCCATATATAACTCTGCTCTCACACTATAATCCCGTCACGATTTTTGATATTTTATTTCTTGTATAATTTTGTAATGTGAGGACATCCATAGCTTTCTAACGTCGCAAATTTAAGAGAAAAGTGTGCTAAATCATTTGCGATATCCTCACACTTTACAGGTGTGAATACTTTAACTGTAGAAAACATGGCACAAATAAAAACTACTATCCATTACAGCATATTTTTAAATATTTGTACTACATAAATTCATTTGTTAGAAAACATTTTCTATCTATGTTAGCCTCTGAACAAAACATATTTCCATTATAACAACAAACATTTTTAAAAAGAAATTGAAAAATTGCATTGAAAGGCAAAGAAAAAGTTGTTAGCGTTCATTTGAAAACAAAAGAAGATCAGGAATAGACGCAATATAAATAGAGTTTCAAACAACGAAATGGCTGCGTTTAAAATAAAAACTTTCTTTTCTACTGTTTAAATGTGAATGATAAACTTTTTAGAGATTGTATGCAAACAAACGCAAGCGTTTACTTTTTTCAAAAATATTTTCGTTTCAATGGCACAAGTATTAGAAACATTAGCAAACGCTTCAAAATAACAAATAATAGTCTGTATTTTTGTCATATTTTCTAAACAAAAAAGTTTGTAAAGTGTGAGGATATCTCAAAAGATTTAGCACACTTTCCTCTTAAATTTGCGACGTTGCAGAGCTTTAGATGTATCCTCCTCATTCGAAAATTGCAGAAGAAACAAAATATCAAAAACCGTGATAGAATTATATTGTGGAAGCAAGTTATGTGATAAATTTCTTTCTCATCATAAATCGTCGCGTTTATAAGAAGTGTTTGTACTGTTTTCTCAAATACAAATCTGAAGAATAATTATGCAAATAACGTATATCGCTGAATTAGCATGGTGACATACATCTTTTGCTTTCAATTAAATGCAACTCAGTCTTCTAAATTTTTGAAAATAATCTTTCTAAACTGTGAACAGATCAAACTCGTCACTCTAATATAAATGCAATTACCCATCCATCAACTGCTGATGTGACTATGCTGTCATTGTGTTAATCTGTATTTCTGTTCATATAATAATAATTTTTGAATCAGTGACGCTGCAGTTTTCTCGAAATTAAATGCTTCCTGAAGAGTGTGTGTGTCCATGATCGTTTTTTATATAAGTTTTGAAATGATGTATTTGAATGCAAACTTGTCAACGATAATGGTTTGTGATTTGTTTTATCGATATTTCCATCATCTTGATATTCTTCTAGAGACTCGTTCAATAATTGTTTTATGGAAAGATACTTGTTGCTAATCTGAATTTGTTTTATAGGATGATTATTAGTATTTGAAATTATCATTATGGGTACATCGGCATAGATTGATGGATGATCATCTAATAACTTTTTATTTGAATTTCGTTTTGAGATATGTTGTGACGATAGATCAATTGTCCTTTGGTTCGATTGTTCACATTTTCGCGATTTTATTTTAGTTAATTTTCGATTGGAACTATTTTCATTTGAATCGTTTAAAAATGATAATGGTCGAGTTTTGTTTACAGTATCTTTAACGACATAGTTCTCTTGTTTCTTGTTATCATTGTGAAACGATTGTGCGTTGTTCGAAAAAGATAATATGTTCGATTCATCTGGTGAACTTTTTGATGGAGTCTGTAACTGAATAGGTGATATTGGTGGTGAAAATCGACTATTGGCCGTGGTTTTAGATGATTTTAGAATAGTTGTATTCACTTTAGTTTCTGTTATATAATCTTGTTCTATAGTGGAAGATTTTTGAGAGGATAATGTTGGATAAATAGTGTTCCTATAAATTAGAGAATTCTTCAAAGGAGATAATGCCATCTTCCCTATTAATTTCAGTGCATATGTGTCCACTTGTGAACTTCTTGGTGGTAACGTTGTTTGTCGTACACTTGAAATAAAATTCTGTTGATGAATAGTTTGTCCGTTCAATGAAACTGTTGGAATTATATCATCATGATAATATTCTGTCCTCCTTGGTTCCTGAGATGAATATGATGTTAAACGTTTTGGTGATACTGGCAATGAAATGGGGCGTGATAAATATCGATTATAAACAGTACTAGGATTATCAACTATGTTAGTAGGATTATTCGATGTCTTGGACGTTAAACCTTTCTGAAATTCAACTCTTGGCAACAAGGGATCAAAATCATTCGCATTTAACAACGGTGTTCGATTGTTTGCTTTACTACTTTTGTAAGAGTTTAAAGAGCCATTCGGTATTTTTCTCATTTGTGGACTTTTTTTTCCATCAAAAATGTTGGAAGCTGCTAGTGGAATATAAATTCAACTTTACTTTAAAAATTTGTTCAAAGGCTCGTAGATAGCGAGCAACGATTATGACATCAAAAAAATCAAAAATGCACTTTTTGCAGATTCAAATACTACTTCACATACTGAAAGATATCAGTTATTTAGCAGCGTCAAAATTTTTGTTTCAAGTGCTCAAAAATGGTGGAAAACACATGTGCAAAGTAAAACCTGAGAATACAGGCGGACTGCATCCAATGATGTATAGTATGCGCTTATTGTGAACAAAGAAATTTCCAACAGGAAAATCGATCTTAGAATTCTTGAAGGAAAAATCACCAAAAAACCAACCAAACAAAAATCGACTCTAACTTGTGACAATAAAGACGATTCGTTATTTAATAGTCTTTTACACTCTACCGAATAACAATCATAATATTTCCTAATCCATCATTTTCTTTTATATTTAATGTTTAAATTACTTTATTTCTTATAGTTTGCGCTCGACAATACTGCAATCTCGTTCTTTCTAACAGTCAAATAAACCTTTCCAAAATGAATAATTTGTGCGCTTTTATTATTACCGATCGAAATCCGTCTTACTTTCTTATATACAAACTTAAGAATATATGAAAGGATCTCAAAAATCCCTTAAAGTCAGAATTTTGGAATCTCGAGTACTATTAATTCAAATTTATATGACGTCATGACCATAACAGACGGACGTCAAAATTAAAATAAAGAAAAAACAATTCAGAAATAAAGTACTATAATGGATTTGGCCCAAAAACAAATACCAAGCAGGTGGAGGGGAGGATAAAGAATTCGAGAACTAAAAAGCTTAAAATAAACACTGAAAGAAATTGTTCGCATACGCCGTAAAGTAGAGCACATCGAAAAACCTATAAAAATGATTTTTCTCCTTTATGACTTCGTTTTCCAGAAAACCCCGTGACAAAGACGTCCAAGACCTTTTTTAACAACAGAAATAAAATCAATATCACACATATTAGAAAAAATAAATTTCAACTCATTTCAAGTATTTTTCACTGAATTTAGTATTACAGAAAATCTGAATTTCTGGAAAACCCAGAAGGAAGTATTTTAAAGCGTTTTGGGATGTGCCATAGGAAAGAACATATCAGAAAAACTATAGAAACTATAGTTTGAAGCTATCAAATTGACTTGTTGAAGAAAAAAAGGACATGTCCGAATCTCCAGCGAAAATTGCTCACGGTGTCATACTGACTTAGAGAGAAAACTCAAAATCTTCGAATAAACGGTATAACACCAAAACTCAAAACAACAATGCAAAAACGATCCATCATTATCATAAAAACATGCAGCTAAAATAGGATGAGTATTTTGAGTACTATAGACACTACAGTCTGTAACTTTTTTGAAGGATAATACCTCAAAGTCAGTAGCAATATCAGATTCAAATGAAAAACTTTACCTAAGTATGTACCATCTATGGAATTTTGTGACGGATCTAAATCTAATACTGGCGGCACGCTACTTTCTAATCCTGTGCTAGACCCTATAACTGCATCAATATTGTATATGTTGTGTTCGGACTTCGCATGAGTACCAGATACATCTGTCGTTGAATGTTGTTGTATTTGTTTTTCGAGTGACGTTGGTGAACAATGATCTGACTTTTGGGGTATCTCGGATGCTGGAAAATCCTTTCCACACGGTATTGGACAATAAAAATGAGATGGTGTACGTGGAATCGAAGGATAACACATAGGAACACCGTGTGAACGAAACATGGGGCGTTCCATGAATACCAATGGCTCGTGTATTATTCGGCACAGATCATCGGTCGTTTGTTCTGGTAGTTTTAAGGTATTGGAATAAAACTGTTCACGGCTATGATGTTGGGGTATTTGTTCGTCTACAGTTGTTATTAGTTGATCTAAATCTAACTGAACTGTTTCAGAATCAGGTTTTGGCGTGTCTTGATTACAAGATGACGTGGATTTTTGCGTATGATGATTTGCCGGAATAACAGTAACGTGAGTATTAGTGGAGCCCACACAATTTTGTATGAATTGTATTTTTTGAATATGGAGCGATTGTTGTTGTGGTAGTGTATAAATTCTTTGTTTCGAAACGGATCGAACTGTTACACGAGTTTTATCGAATAATGGTCGATCACAATTTTGACTAAAGGAAGTAAATCTTTAGTCAGACATTCTAAATACAAAATTTTTCTTTTGAAATACCCATCAGTGGTATAATGTGAATTACTCTTTGGTAAATGTTGTTGAGGATGTTGTTTTGCATGATAATAAAATGTATCATCACATCTTGGTAAATAGTGTTCAAATAATTCTTTCTGTAGCCTTTTTGTACTACGATAATGATTATCATAATCCAAAAAAGAAAAACATCTCGGCAATTTTCGATAATGTTGTTCAAGTTTTGCTTTAGATGTTTTACTATTATTTATATCAGCCGAATTATTACGTTGCTGTTTCATATCAATTTCATTTGTAAACATTAATGATTGCCATATTAATTTGAAAAAAAAATCATAGATAAAATTTAGACAATATATTGTACCATTATATAAGCTTGAAAAAGTATTCGTTATATAATCGGAATTTTTACTGAATGTAAGAAGAAAAAGGTCTGAGCACATACTCGGATTTTGTCCTACGTTACACATATACGCTTACTGTGGTTTTTGATGATTGATTTTATTTCTACTAGAATCTTCATTTTTCTTTAATTTTTTAAAATGAGATGACAATAAAGTGTACGAACTATCTATTTGACGAAGAAGTGGCGATGAATAATGTTTTGAACGATTATTAGCATTTATTCGCTGATAATAGTCAAAAGAACTTGTTTGTCGTAATCGTAGTGATTGAGAAGAATAAGAAGAAATAGATGATGGTCTTTTCGAAGACGAATGAGATGTTTTTTGATTTTTTTGTCTCTTTGCTTTTGTGCACGTACACGAATAACATGTTGATGAAGGACATGAACATGTTCTGGAATATGGATTATAGTATAATTTCGATGATTTTTCAGCTAGTACATTATTCCCATCATCATAAATACACTGTTGCTCCCGTTCAACTTGTACAAACGATAATCCTTTCGAACTATTGTAATTGATTGATTGATTTTTATCTACTATATTATCTGCATGAAGAAAAGATAAACTCGAAACATCTGTTAACGATGTTGTATTTGTTTTGTTTAATATCACAGACGTTGTTGCAATTGGCTCATTAAGAATATCCGATATTGTTAACGTTTCTGAGGAAGTTAACAGATCACTGTTTATTTCATCCATTAATTTTCTGTCGTTCTTTGCTCGTTTTATTTCCACCATCTTCCATTAAAATCATATTAAGTCCATTTCCTTAGTACACTTTAAGATAGTTAGTTTGAATTGTTCACAATGGAGAGAAAACATAAAAATCTCTTCTCATCGTACACAGATTGGATTGTTGTAGTGCTTTTATTTTTAAACAGATTATTAAAATTCGATAATAGTAACCGTAAAACCTCAACTATAGAGAAAAAAGAAAAACGTCGATTAAATTTGCGCTGAATTGTTTATTTCTCATCGACTTTAGTAAAATTACTAGATGCGCCTTTTTAGTTTGTGATTAGTTGAATATTTGTTGAAATTCATCATCAGTTGCTTAGAGAACAGCTCTTTTGGAATGTTTTCTATAACGAAAATCTTTTTTAAAATATCAAAGAAAATTTAGTTGTGATTAGACTCAAAAAACGATAAAGAATCAGTTGGAGACATATTTTTCTTTTTTAATAAATTACAAGTCTCTTTCTAAAAAAAATTATTAAATAGTAAATAAGGCATCCATAAAGCTACCCGTTACAACAGGAAAAATGTATATTAAATGTCGATTGAACATAAGTCATGTATTCTTGACTATTTAACAATTAATATTTCTAAATTTTATTCATTATCGTTTGAGGAAAAAACTTTCATATAAATTATAAAACTTTTGTTATTTTTCGAAAAAATATCAGAAAAATATAGATCATCATTTGACAACGCTAAGCGTTTATAAAAATATCATCAACAAAAAACGTAAGAAAGTAGACGTACACGACACTAGTGCAGAAAAATTCAAATAAGAAAAATTGTCGAAAAAAGTCAACAAGTACAGTTATTCTCGTAAAAAGAGATATTTGATGCACATAAAATAAAAATAAAAAAATACAATGGATAATAAATCATTCTATTTTTCTTTCATCACCACTTTCCATTTTCCTTTGACAGTTGGTTTAACAGTTAAACGTAGTTGTTCATCTCTACACATTTTAGTTAACTTTTCATAGGCAAGTTTTTTGGCTGCAGATAATTTATGATTATATTCCATGACAAATCTTAACGTTCCATTGAATTCGAGTGTTTTCTTCCATAATCTTACACCCTTTCGAAAAGGATGTCCATCTATTTCTTGTAAATCAATTGCTGGATCAATAATTACATTATGAGCATTTTTTTCTTCACGAAAAAATGTTTGAATTCTACTGATCTCTTCATTCTTTCGTGGTCTAAGAGAAGAAAAATCAATTATTATACTCAGAAACTCATAGCAGACACATTTAGTAAAGAAGTCAAAGTTAATCTTTTAGGTCTAGATATATGTATATCAGTTATTTATCTCTAAAATAACAAATTTTTATATCAAAACTAGAACAATGGGAAAATTCATGCGCATTTTACGCAAGTGTTTCTGGACTTTTCATTAAGTTTCCCCCAAATCCTTGGTTTTTGAAAATCTATTTTTCTTCACCTAAAAGTGTTTTTTCTCGATAAAAATGACATATTCGAAATCAGCGCGTCGAATTGCATTAAACCATATATAATACTATAAGTTTTGAATCGAATAACTAAATATTAAAATATTTTTCAATGGAAGACTATTCGAAAGTGATTTTTTTTCTGAAAACAATTATTTTTTGTTTAACAGCATCAGAACTGACCAAACGATGATAACTATTCAGAAAAAAATGATTCACGAGCAAAAATTCTGATGCTCGCCTACTCTTAGAAAAATGCTTATTGTTAAACTATGGCTTGCTTTCACTCACTGATTTTCAATAATTCTACGTCGAATACGATTTAATAGCTCTTGCTGTGCGTGCATTTCATAAATTGATCGCCTAAAAGAGAAACAAAAGAAAACATGAGGCCACGTCCACTCACAACATCCTATCGCTGATAGAGTTTTAGGATTCTACAATAAATGTCAAATGAATAGAACACATGGAACTTGATACTTCAAGAAGCAGAATAATAAAATATCCGCTAATGAATATCCGTCAAATGAACAGAACACATGGAATTGATCAAAAAGCAGAATAACAAAATATCCGCTAATTGATAATTCCATTTTATCACTTACGTATACACATTGTTCATTTAATGTCGATACACTCTTCGCTGGAGATTAGTTATTTGTTGAAAACATCGTCATTCTAAAAGATCAACATAAAAGAGACATGTCCCTTCTACGTATCACATCCAAATGATTCATAAAATGTATAAAAGACGTGTCCTTTACACAAAAATCAATTTGGTATGAAATTACAACCCCATATTGAAGTACAATGCTGAATGGAAGTTGAGAAAGAAGCGAGGACATTATCCTCAAACAAATAGTTTACAATCGAACGATAGCTTGGATAAAGAACAATGCTGGCTGTATTACATTTAACCGACTCAAATTAGTCTGTTAATCAAGAGCAATAAGCATGCACACAGGCTCCATCTTCGCTAGAAGTAAATAATATACTGATCTGGTCTTCGAATATTCCAAATGGAAGCAGCTGCATATAACAAGTGGACACATTTTTGTCAAACATTTTTCCAGAGTTATTTATCAAATAAAACTTTGTCCATAAGTTTATTCGATAGAGAATTCAACAAAGTGGCTAGTTTCATTTTGGAAATAGTCTTTCTTTTTGTTGCAAAAGACAGAAAAGTAAAATGACTTATTGTAGCAACGTATACACGAGTTTTTTATTAGATAAAAATAACTGTGAAAACGACTTGTTATGATGGAAGCTTTCAGAGACAGAGAACTTTCTGCTCTATCGACCAGTCTTGCTTACATTTTCTACAACCACTTGTTGATTTCAACAATGTTGTTTGGTTGGAATGAAAGAGTTTGAAGATTCAAAAGTCAAATTCTATAAAAATTGTTTTCTCAAAAAGTGCGTCATTTGTTGACCTATCACACCAATGAACGTCAATTAAAAAGATACGATACACAACAGTGTCGGTATAAAACTAATAAATTATTATTTTTCTCATCCAAGGGATCTTGTTGTAATCTCAAAGGTATTTTCTTACATTTGTCTTTCCATCTTCTTGCCATTTTGAAACTATCTAATTAGTCTTGTATTGTCACTTTTTGGTTTCTATAAATTGAAGAATCATGTTCTCGTATAAACTCACGAACTCGCGAAATCTCTCTGCAGTCATTTACATTTTCTCTTTTTGAATAAAAAAATACACATAGATCAACCAATTAATTAATTTTTGTAAACAATTTTATTATTTTATGAATCAAATATCATGTTTTTTATTATTAAAAAAGAAAAACTGAAACGAGTGCGAGACTGGAAATCCTAGAAAGCAGGGTGCACTCGAACAAACAAGTGCAATTCTTGAACCAGTCGCTCCATACTGCTCAACCAGGACAGACATGCTAGTAAACAGCGATATAATAATGGTCAATTGTCTAAATGATCAAAGTCCACCTAGACATCAGCAAAGACCAGCAGAGCTAACTTAGCTATTGCCAGTAAATGCATTGTCTCAGGTAGAGCCCGACCTTAAACTTCTTAAAGAAAAACTTTGCATGCATCAAATCACGATTGCTTACATACCGTTGTACCGATTCATCGTCTGTTGCATCGGAATCTGGAGTATCTACAGTACATGCAACTCGTTCGCGATCTATAATAAATACAATTGATTTGCAAAAAATTAATAAATACTTCTTCCACTTTCTTTACCCACATCTACAATGTGCAATAGAAAGAAAATGGAATTTACCTCCTGCTTTAATGGTTTTAACATCCTCACTATCACTGTCAGACTTCATTGATTTCCGCTAAATAAAAATTTCAACGTTAAATCAAATTTATAACAATTATTTCCGGTACACAGTACATACCTTTTTACTCCCAGAGTATGTTGTGGATAAGTCTCCTATTTGTAGATCATCATCCTTAACTCGAACACTTCGACTCTAAAGAGAAAACAATTCAATTTACAACAAGTAATGCACAAGTAAAACACACTGTTAGAAAATAGTTTTTCTCACTCTTGATCGTTTCTGATCACTAGCACGTTCTAAAGAAACAAAAAGAAAACGATGTAAAATACATATATTATGAATGTGTCGATTTAATGCTCGTTAACAGAAGAAAAAAGATAAAATAAAACTTTTTCTGAAAATCACAAGTACTGAGATGAAAGAATAAAGTTTTAAGCAGGAACAAAAACACACACCTCGACGTGCAGAATTCGGTGATAAAGATGAACAGCGAGAGCTAATATCGTTCCTGTGAGTACTTTTCCGATGATAAGAAGAGCCATTATTCGGTAACGTAGATACACCAGGTACCGATGTAATATTGGCTGTAATTGAAATAGTAGCAAAGTGACAGATATAGAAAAAAAATCAAAAATGATTACTCTGTGTTGCAGTTATTAATGGGTATGAAGATGATGAGTTAACAGCTAATGATTTAAAATCTGAATGTTGAGTTGTCAGAGGGGGAAAAAATGGTACTGGTAAAATGGGTACTGGTCGAACCAAATCTAAATCAAAGAACTTAGCTTAGTTCACATATAAAAAGACAAGCGATCTTGTTCATTACCACTTTTTCGATGTCTACCAATATAAGCAGCAAACTCGGAGGCATAGTCATTTTGTGCACGAAGAACAAGTTTTTGTATGCGAAATATGGCCAGATCAATTACGTCTAGCGATTCATGTCTAAAAAATGTCCATCCAGCACAATTGTTATTCATTCAAAACAATGCATATAATCACTCTATCTGTTTAATGCATTTATTTTCATAGAAAACTTTTGCTATAAATAACTAACTCACATAAACGTGACACTGATGTTCTAACTTAGTTAGAAATATGATGAATGTACAATCTTCAGCTTGATGAACTAGTCTTACTGTATTGTAACTTGAACACGTGAAAAAGGACTTTTTTCACTTCCTAATGGAACAACATTGATATTGCATCGTAAATTACGTTCAATTTCATTAATATAGCATCTCTAGGATCAATAGTTAAAGATCAGGATATTTATTCTTGGAAAAACCAGTTATTCGCATTTACCTTCTGGCCAAACATTTGTATCTCAGTGTTAAATTGCTTTTCCAATGAATTGTACAATGAGCCAAATACTGATACTGATTTATCTGTCTAATGAAATAAAAAAATATAGCGCGATTATCTCTCGGCAAAATATCAAAAATAACACCGAAGACAAACAACTTACATTAAGTTGTGGTTCATCGACTTTTTCATACTTTACCAAATCATACTGTATAATACGGCATATTGCTGCAGAAAGAAATACACAAAGCACATATATTATGTAATTATTACATATGATACTAATTTTGTCCAAGAGATTTCGGGATCTATGCTACGAAATTTCTAAATAGTACCACAATGAGAATGATTATTGTCCCTTTAATCCACATATCAGTCTATCTCGTTCTAGAAAACACTGTCGATTGAACCTCTGCAAGTAAATAGAAAGAGGACAAACCTTTCAACAAACCATCATCGTCATAACCACGCACTGTTAATGCTAATCTCTGATAATTACATAACTTCAACAGTTCTTTTGGAATATACATGCCACTAACACTAATTGTGATTGAATTGTTTTTCCCAATTAACTGCAACTTTATAGAAAACGACTTCAAAATAGAAGTTTAACTGGAATAAGATCACAATATTTACCTTTCCCCAGTACGATGCTTGAGTAACAGCCACACAAACTTCATGACTCAAATCACTCAGTGGAATTTCTTGCTAAAAAAGCGAGATGCAACTCATTAAACCATCACATTTTCTCTGTGAAAGCCTACTTACTGTAATTACTCGCCGGTCGGATTTTACACTAGATGCTAAAAACACCTAGATTTAAATGGAATGATTGTAGTGTCTTCTATCTATACTTACACCCTTTGCTGCTCATTTTCTCTTATTATCCACTCACTTCAACCACAACGAAAAGTTTATATATGATACGTAATGGAACATGCGGTTAGTATTTATCGACAAACCTTCTGTTTAATATGGAAGATCGACGTAACTCTGATCATTAGTTCTTATTCGTTCTATCTAGCTGTTTGAAGCCATTTAAATTCCAAGGAGAGGCCGGCCTGTAGAAAGAAACAGACGGACGGATGAAAAAGAAGGAAAGAAACAAGCGGTCCAGGTATGATCAAACAATCATGAGATGACTCATCGCTTCAACATCAGTTTATATCTTGCTTACAGAAATATGCAGAAAAAAAACACGAAATCCAAAACGAGATTGGAGTTATCAGATTTTTCCAACTAAAATTTGAATATGGCGAGTATTCAGTTTTTCCCCTTTATTTAGAGTCCGTTATCTTCTCAAGATTCTAGCTACAAGCAATTCTGTCTTTCGCTTAATTCTTGGGTGTCAATCAGGAAAAAAAAGTTTTTAGTGTATTCTAAATCAGCATCTCGATAGGTTGTCTTCTTTTAGCCGAAAATAAGTTGATGAAAATAAGGATCCAGAATATATCGAGTTGAAGCATACTTTTTCATTGGTATATACTCTACAAAAGGGAAATAACGAAAACGATGTCGCACACGTACATTTTTCTCGTTCAAAGATCTGAAAAAGTGAAAAAACTGATCGAATTTGATACAATTTGATACCGACTTTCATCTGGGTCACGAATATGAAGTTCATTTTAGGTAAAACGCCTTTAATAATTAAAAATTAAGTTTTTTATCTTATTACAGTCTGAACTATACGGCTGTATGTACAACATGACCGTATGATGCCATGCGCTTGTGCAAAAAAATTGATTCAATCTTTTAGATATCTGGAGCTCGGCATAAGACGGCTCTCAAAACGTATGCTCAAAATTTCTGCTTGTACTCAGATTTTGGAGTTCTATCCGGATCTTAACGCTTCACAGGGCGGAAACGTGTTCTTGGGACGTTCGATGGAGCGCATGAAAATTCGTATGTCCACGAAATTTTGACCTTTCGAACAAATTTTGGCAACACGTCGGCCCAAAATTAGTTGACATATATACAATCGACTACGGTGATCATGAATATTAAGTCACACCCGCCTTTGTACCGAACTTCTAAGTTTTACTTGTCGGTCATATTTGAGAAACCTTTTTTTCAGCTACTTCGAAATGAATATTAATATTCTTAACCATTGAGACTATGCAGTATAAGTGAGGGATATGCAGAGAGTTGAACAAATTATTTTTCAGAGGAAAGACGGTTATGCTTTATCATTGAGCAGATGTGAAGCTTCCCATCCTGTAAATTGCTTTCAAGCCAGAAGGGACTTATCTTTCCTACAAATTCCTCTGAGCAAAACATCTATTCTGTACCCTTAAACACAGGTTATTGTGTACAAATTCGGAGTTACCAAGGCCTGGCCCTTATCCATAACCGTAAAATGCCACAACCGAACACCATGAACCTAGTTTAACGTCGTTTCGGACGAATTCAGCGAAAAAACCTCTAAAAACCTTACCGAAAACTTTCATTGAAAAGCTTTTCTGTTCAAAAGTTGTTGAAAAGCACATTTTCCGATGTAGGTTTTCACGCTGATTCCGAATATGTATAATTTGTCTTGATAAAATTGTTTTTGATATAAGAAAATTTAACTTTATCTTGAAAAACCAGGGTTTTCTGGAAAACCTATATCTTCGTCTAGTCAAAAAACCGCATGCGCTATAGATGCAAGACAGCGAGATGAACGTTTGAAAGTTACCAGAGTTTAGGAAAATTTAGGAAGTCAATTGCACTGGTAACGTAGCGAGGAAAAGGGATTTTCTGGGAAAAACTACGTGTTTTTTATTCACACTTTTTAAGATGAAACAAAATTTTTTTCACTATCAGATAGCTGGCATTTTTTTTGCTCCAGAAAATATCAAAACGAAGTGTTTCGATCACTTTGTTCGAAATACGCAATCAACATTTTTAAAAACGCGCTAATTAGTACGTGAATTTTCTTCACCAATTTTCTGAACAAGGAAACTTTTAGAAAAACAATTTTTTCATCATTATATCGGTCGTTAGCCAAAATATATATGACAGTATTCAAATCTCAAAAAGCGCACTTACGATTTTGAGCCAAACTTTCGCATATATGCCCACTGCGAGATATTGAACTTTTAGAAATGGAATATATTTCAGGTTTATTGAGTTAAACTTATCACGGTACTCCTAAACTTGCATTGAGAGTGGCGCTGAATCCGACAATTTTGCTGGGAGAGTAAAAATCATTTTTCTCGGCTTCTTCATGAGCTGTGAAGGCAGAAAAGACAGTTTCTCACGTAACTTGATGAACTTTATTAAACTAGATTAGTCCTAAATGCGGCGGAAAAGCTTCTGTAAAATTTGGGACATTTCAGATGAATTTACCCTAAATTAAAATGTACCTTGTACATTCTGTTGTTTATCACACAAAATAGTTTGTACATTTAATTTTGTTAGAATACTGCATACTGTGAACAATGTTGCACTTGATTTTTATCGTCATTTGACTCTCCAGTAATTGTTACGAATCGTATGGAATGCATTTCGTTACTTGCGATATAATATGATTATATCGCAAGTAACGAAATGCATTCCATACGATCGACAGTCCACATACTATGACAGTGCACAAACACGTCTCATACATTTTCAGAAATGCAGCTTGCAAGTCGAATGCATGTACAGATGTATGTAAATTGAGAGAAATGCATTAGGCTTGTATGCCCAAGATGGATACTGCGAATCACGCAGATGATTTGTTTGATCTAACGATCATTGACGAAAAAGCCTTCCGTTCGTGTATTCTTAGATACTCAGTATATTTCTTTTACAGTCGACAGTTGTGCTTTAAAGAGATGCTAAAAAAACTTGTAATTAAATTTTAAGTTTCTCTTTAAACATTCAGCCTATAATGAGTGATAAAAAATATACAGAATATGCTGTAGAGGTCATTATTATCTGATGATACACAACGGCAGAAATAAATAATGGTAGAGATATTTTTTCCGTAACTAGATGTCCGCACAATAAAAATTGAATCGGCATGGATATTCGAAAATGAAAAGCAGTTAATTCGTAAATTTAAGTTTATTTTTCAGTTTTCATTTGTTACTCAGTATTAATTACTTGTATTGAGTACCACACTGACAACGACGCAGCCATATACGACACTGTCTCGATTATAGCTGCCAGCTGCTTAGGTCAGAAAAGCGGAAAAAAAGCGGACACGCATTTTTCATCGTATTAGTTCATTTTTCACCAAATGCAAAGGCTATCAAAAAAATTTTCTAGCAGTTCCACTTAAGAAACACAAAAGAAGTACAAAACATCATTTAAATCCCAATTTGAATCGACGTTGACTTATTGTGGATACGCGTTTTTTATCAGCCGCATAAATCTCAAGAGTTATGTATGGCAGGATAAGATTGAATTCGAAACTTTCGCGACAGCATTTAATGGTTAAGATTTTCTGGTCGAGTTGGCTTCCTTGAAGATTTAGTGTTGTATTTCACTATTTTTCACACTCCCTTTCAGCAGCCCTTGAGACAAGCTAATGTTTTTCTGATAGTACTCACTTCCGAGGCAAATTTCTGATTTAGTTCTCAAAACAGTGTGCATCTGTCTTATAAAAGTAGCAAAAGCATTATTTTGACAGGTTATTCAGCCCCTAAACTTTTTATGAGAAAATATAAAAATCTTCATTGCAGGAAACAGGACAAAACAAAAAATCCTCGAAAAGCGGACAAATTGCGGAAGAAACTACAGAAAGCGGAATGTGTCCGCAAAATGCAGACCATCTGGCAGCTCTGGTCTCGGCACTTCTCACACTAGAAAGAAAAGCATAAAGTGGAAAACTTTGAAAAATATCCGAAGTAAACTCTAATGTTTATGTAACTGTTATGCTGACAAAACACAGTGGTGAATATAAAAATGACAGACAGACACAATGCATCTTATCTGCTCGAAAAATACCTGTCGCTTGAAATATAGAGAAAATTAGTGTCTTTAGCTGTCAAGCAACATTTGCACAACATGCCCGTATACATAGACGTCAATCACGATTTTGATTGGTCAGTGCGTCCTCTCACCGAAGAGGGTATTTCTTGAGGAGGTTGCCGCCTAAATACGTTCAGTAGTGACCACAAATTCGTTTGTCCATTTGGATTTCGTAACGCGATATAGATTTTACATGGTGACAAATACAGGAATTGAACATTAATTCTTCATTTGTGAATAGTCCTTGTGGTATGTACTCTAAGTGCATTGATGACTGCTTCCTAACGACACTGTGTATGTGTGCAGATCTGAAAGTTCATGAAACGTTTTCGGATAAAAATAAATATTTAGTAATTGCAAACAGCCATACGTAGTTCAGTTGAGTATATCTCGATACACTAGCGCTATTAACACCCTTGTCGATCGGGTAAATTCGGCCGCCAATCTGCACGGCCACATATTTCGCCCAAATCTTGCTCTTTGCTTTTTTTCGTTGCATTTTTCGTTAAAATGAACATTCTTAATAAATGTTAGTCGTCTTCTTTTATACTCAATCCAAATCTAAGAGATTTTTGCTTTCTCGGTTAAAGCTTTAGGATCTTTCATTCGGTCCCACCAGAAGATTTTGCATCTCTTTCTAGTGACATAATCTCCACGAGTTTCAGAAAATCGATAAATATTCTCGAGTAGCTGTTCAACTAAGCTTTGATTCAATTTTGTTTACTCCATGGTTGTTAAAATAAGTTTTCTGTCGGTGGAAAAAATGTTTGTTTTCCTCTGTTTCGAATCCTAAAAGACATGTCCAAATATTTAAAAATAATATTTGTTCTTCTGCTCCATAACCTTGAATTAAGCGTTGACTTTGGACAACTCCAGCAGTTCTACTTGTGGTTTACCACATACTACGAGCTATTTTCTGTCGCTGAAGTTTTTAATTGATTTTTTATGTTTGTAAATATTGCAACATTCACCAGAACAGTATTTGCTGTCACTTTTCTAATCCTTTTTTTCAGATAGTCATCTTAATATTTTGTGCTATTGGTTGCCACTATGAATTTGCGACAGCCTCATCCAAAACGTCGACATCCATTAAAACGTCTCCAACACAACGAATATAATTCAAATCAACAAACATATGTAAGGAGTTTGATCTGATTCATTTCTAGTATATTAGTATTTCTTTTCATATAGGGTAATTCAATTCCATCAATACTGTCATTCCAGTTTGCTTCGCCACCTATCTACAACAAAGTATTAGACTACTCTTTACCAGAATTATTTACAGATCATTCCAGTGATCCTTTGATTAATCCCATAAGAATTTCAAATATAAAGAAACATAAGACGGGTGTTATTATTGAGCAAAATTCTAGTCGTTTTGTCAATCATGAATTAATCATACGGTTAAATGGTTGTTCAGAAATACTAAGACCAAAAGCAGACGTGTCAACAATATCTACAAATCAATCTGAAATAGCACCATCAGTTTCACCACCAGTAACAACCATTACAACAACATCTAGTATAGGAATGAAATTAGCTGTCAAAAAACTAAAATCGAAGCGAAAGAAACGGAAAAACAGACTTAAAAAATTAAATGAGATACTGAATTCAATATCTAATCAAGTAAAAGGCGTTGTCTCTGTTACACTAAAGTCACAATAGTCTAGTGCTTTTAACTTTTTTATAGAGCACTTAATACTGTCAGCAGGAGTTTACCTATTTCTTTTCCCATAGTTTCCCAAAGCTAACAACATTTCGTATTATATGAGAGTTGTTCAACCTGATGAGACAACTAAAAGAGAATCGTCTAGGATTTGTTCATGTGCTTTAAGTCTGTCTCGACGATGAGAAAATGGTATCTTCGACATCACCTGGTTAATTAAAGCAAAGGTTGATTGTAAAAAATACGAGAATATTGAGTACACAACTGCTACGAAAATCATGTTTGATTTTATTCAAAAATTACTTTTGTTAATTTCAAGCTTTCGACAAGATGCTCTTGCCATCGTCAAGAAACAACATTGGAAAAGTATAGATGAATTCTTATACATACATGTACAATTGTGTAAATTCTACAAGAAATGGAAAAACAGTTTCGTGAGTTACAAGAGAGCAGAGCTGGGAAGCTCAACTCCAGAGCTGAGCTCTTTTTTTGTGGTGTTGGAGTTGAATTGGAGTTTGCTTTTAGACGACCGGAGTTAAATTGATGACAGATTTTGTCAACTCTAACTCCGAAATTTTGATTCAAAATTTCTTCAACTCCAACTACATCAGCTCCTGTGGAGCGTGTTTTTTCACAATTAGGTTTTTTGTTTTGATCACCTCGTAGCAGTATGACAAAAAATATGCTTTCAAGATTAACGTTGTTGAAATGTAATTTTGATTTATTATAATGGTTTTTTTTGTGCATATAAAAGAAAACATGACCGTTATACGGACGAAGTAAAAAGCAGGAAGGAAAAAAGAACGAATAGGTTTTAATTCGGAGTTCAAACTGAGTTGGAGTTGAGGTTTAGATTTCTTAGCAAAGTTGGAGTTATACCTAGCCGGAGTTGCCCAGCTCTTCAAGAGCGTACTGCTCGAAACGAAATATTTCGAAATATATAATTTCCATCTCTTGTAAAATTTACACAATTGTATATGTATCTATAGGAATTTGTCTGTACTTTTTCGATGTTGTTTCCTGACGATGGCAAGAAGAGCATCTTGTCAAAAGCTTGAAATTAACAAAAGTGGTTTTTGAATATAATCAAAAATTATTTCCTAGCAGTTGTATACTCAATATTCTCTTATTTATTCTTTGCTGCTCTACCATCTAGATATGTAAAAAATACCATTAAAATAACATTGCATAGTGATAAGTTTTACATAGTTTCTATGAATCGATTAAAAAAACTTTACTATTTCTATGGGATCATTAGCATTCTTATTAATTTTCATGAACAAGCTCAATATCACAAAATCTTTTTTCTTAGGAAATTTCTATAAAATATATCGCTTGGGCTTTATTGTTTCTTACCCCATGGTTGTTATGCAGTAATCAATATTAATAATAATAATTGAGTTGTTATTATTATTCTACTTCTGGTAAATGCGTCGCTCTACTTTCCTAGCTAGACTTAGTTAGATGATCGACCAAGGCTATTGTTAAAAAAGTATTACAGTTACTAAGTTTTTGAGAATAAGCGGAAGAATGCTTAGTTCCAATTCATTATTCTAGAATTCAAAATCTGATCAGCTAAACGACTTAACCATTGATCATTGTTCATATTCGCCTAATGATCAACAGCTAAAAAATGGTTTATTTTCGGCAACCACGTGGAAGTGAGTCAAAGATAATATTTTTATCAATTGACTACGATTTTGCTTAATTTAAACTTTTATTCTTTCTAGTAGGTCCTCCTTACAACATGTCAATGCAGAAAATGATTTTCATTATCAAAATTTTCTAATGAGTGTGGAATATAATTCTAATTATACATCATTTACTAATGCCGATACTCATTCAATGAATAATTATGTAAATTGTGACATGAATTATCAACAACCGCTACAAAATCATCATTCATCACTAACATATTCCCCACAAATGTCAATGCCATATCAGCAATTACAACCATATTATTATCTTCCATTTTTTTAATCCATTAACTTAGGGTTTACATTAAAAATGTTTTTTGAAAAATATTTGTTTTTTTTTCTTGTTTGATTATAATATCGTATCGAACAATTATGGTGCCATTAAACTTTCAAATCATTGTGATAATCTCTCGTTTTTTTTTTTGTTTCTCATCTCAAGTTTATTTTCTCTTTTGAAACTAGTTAGTTTTTTTGCAATTACTTTGTAAATCTCACTCATTGTTTTCTTATTTTTCTCTTACATTGGATAAGAACAGAAAAACAGACACAATCTGTTCCATATGTTTCAATTCTACTTTTGAAAAGTTAACAGGAAGGACAAAACAAATTAATTAAGTTAAACATTTCAGCAAGTCTCTTTGGAGTTAACATAGCTGATAAGTAATTTTAGCCATGAAAAATATTTACAAAATTCCTTATAGTGCAGGATAAAAGAGTCTCTTACATTAATCCTTTACATTGATACAATCGATATACAGAAATAACACGGTACAATTGTATCAAACCGGATTTTTTCCAACCTGAAAGACTTCATCAGCTCTTGATTGATAAAAGAAAGTTTTCTTTCTATAGATCTTGACCGTGATAATTAACTTTTAAAACTAAACAGTTGCAAATTATTAAAGTTTTTTTAACAACTTTTTCCATAGATTTAACTGTACAAAAGCTTTTAAATGTAGTGGTTGATTACTAGTGCTATAAGGATTCTTTCTATAATTATACAGGAAAATAAATTTTCTGTCAAGTTGATTTGAAGTACCGTGCCCAGTAATGAAATGTCCACCCTTGTAGACTTTAGGGGAAGTGACATAGAAAATACTAATTTTTAAACATATACACATTCTTTCTTTCGCTTCTTTTTTTGTAAGATGCAGACTTTTATTTTTCGCTTTTTGCCATAGTTGGATAGAGCAAATCGTGTTGAATAGGAACAACTTAATTCCCAAATTTTGGAACACATTTTTCAGTTAAAATATTTTAAATATCGGTTTTTCAAAAATAGGTGAAAATAGGCAAAATTTTGAATAAAACTCAAAATTTAGCCATTCATTCTATTTTTAAAATTCCAAAATAATTTTTTTCTTACTCTACATCAAAATTTCGTTCTGGAAAACAGATTTTGGAAATTTTAAAACTCAAATTGACTTCAAGAACCGTTGACGACGAGCAGGATGGTAAAAGACCCACTGACCAATCCTCTAAACCTATCTAACGGGTGGCGCATAATAAACGGGACACTTTTGTTCTTTATTTTTAAGGCACTTCCGAATGATCTAAAATTCTGACTCTAGTCTCATTCGATAGAAAACTGAATTCTCTACAAAACCTGCTTTTTGAATCTTTGATAGCATTTTTCTTGTTTGAGCACCACTCAAAATATTGAATAGTGCTAAATGCTCAAACTGCGACGTGCTTTTGTTATATGCTTTTTTGAGATTTTTAGCCCATTGTCTGAGGTTCAATAATTGCTTTTCTAGGTAGAAAAATAGAATTTTGTGCTCTATCGGTCTCACTCATGTATAACTTCATATAATGTTTTCGCTACGTCAGCTGGACTCCTAAATAGTTCTCAACCGGCTTTTCACGCTTTTTTCAAATTAAATTAATTTTA